CTATTTTGCTCATACAGTCAATCAGACTTGTATTTTACAAGTCAATTTTAAATGAATTGCTGGAATTTGCAAATATTTAAATTTCTACTTATTTTGACCTCCTAAGTACAAGGTTAACGCGCGGCTATGAACTCGCGCTATTTGAACAACTAATTCTTACACGACTCTCAATTGTCGGTAAAAGGTGGCAAATTTAGCACACACTGCTATCAACCAATACTAGATGAACAACTGATTCTACACGACTCTCAAATGTCGGAAATTATTTCTAACTAGATTCTTATCAGCTTATCATTCTTATCATGTTTCTTATCAGATAACATAAACAAAATATTTTATGAATCAAACATTGAAAATAAACATTTTATTTTCATACAAAACGTATCAAACTTATATAAGATAATACTTATGCAATTAATTTCCATTAATTCTATTTATACACAAAGTGATAATTTCGACCGGGGAACAAATCCTGGTCTCTAACTTTATTTTAATATTCCTTTAAATTAACAATATTATTGGAAAGGTGATTTAAATCGGGTAACTGAACCCGGAAACATAATTTATATCTTAATAATTCCCTATATGAATTTATTAGGAAAATATTACTAAGAAAACGACAAACTAGTCCGGCCTGGGAATCGAACCTAAGACCTTCAAATTATTATTTCGATATTTCTTTAAGATTCAACTAAGTGTTTTCTTATTAGAATATTATTGCTCGATAATTTGTTTTTAGAAGCTGTTCGTAATCGGTTAACTAATAAATTGAAATATTCTTATAGACGCGTCGCCAACAACCTCCCCCCCCGTGCATCACCACCATCATTTGAGAGGCGTCGCGGGTACCAGGATTATTATTCTGGATGTAGATCTCCTGATCCGATGAAGATACCTGTGCCAGTAATGACGTCAACCACTCTGGTGTGACCGTCTGGTCCCGGTAGCGTCCTATTAATCTTGCCTTTCGGCCACGTATTTCGTGGCAACGAATGATCTATTATCAAGACAATATCACCTTCTTTAGGTTCCATGAACCTTCCGTTATTACCCGTTCGAGGTATAAAAGTAGGCATGTACTCTTTCAGCCATCTCGTCCAAAAACGGTCGGCTAACCTCTGGGCGGATTTCCAATTGAGTTGACCCGTCAGATGTTGCTCTAAAAATAATCCAGGTGGTCGATCATCACATGAGCGTCCGAGAAGAAAATGATTGGGTGTCAAATCCTCTTCAAGACTATCCATATTGAATGTTACCAGAGGTCTGGAATTTACAGTATGCTCTGCTTCTAAAAGCAACGTATGCAAAACCTCCTCTCGCGGGCTCCTTTCTTTGAGCGTAGCGGTCAACGCAATTTTAATCGATCTTAGTAACCTCTTCCAAGCGTCACCCATGTGCGGTGCTCCCAGAGGTATAAATTTCCATTTAATATATTTTCTAAATGACTCGTTTTTCATGCCCTCATAGCACTCTTCGCATGCTTGCAATAATTCTTTATTTGCAGCTTTGAAATTCTTCCCGTTATCGTTGTATATAACGGCTGGTTTTCCTCTTCTGGCGATAAATCGCCTCAACGCCATTATTATTGGCGCCGGTGTCAATGAGGCTGCTAATTCCACAAGTTCAAGACATAAAATTTTTGGTTCACCTCATTCATCACCGTCTGGTGATTGGCATGTCCAAAATGATGATGAACTTCTCTAATCATCATTTTAACGATTTCGTGTTTACCGTCTAATACGACAGGTTTTCTACTTTCCTCAGTCAAATAGACTTGAAAGGTAAACGCCCATTTAAACGGAGTAAGTTATCTTCTCCTATTTCCATAGATAATTTACTTAAGCGTGAACTTCTTTGCCTTCTTTGCCTGCTTTCAAGCATTTTATTTCCGAATGGAAACACTCGTCTTGAACAAACTTCCAAATTAATAATTCAGCTCTTTTTAAGAGCGTTATGTCCAACGCGCCATCGGGTCCTTTAAACGACTTTGCTAAAATTTCGTTGGAACACATAACCGACTTTTTCGGCTGTGTTGTCGGATCCTTTAACCGACTTTCTTAAACTTTTGAATTTTTCTACCGCTTATAAGGTGCGTGTAGTTGCCCCAAGGAATTTCTTAAAGCTGCTAAATCGTCCGTAGTCGGGTAGACTTAACGGCTCTTGCTTTCTTAGCGCGTTTACGCCTTTCGGCGATTTTTCTTCACCCATTTCTAAGCTATTTATGGTGTCCACTTGTTTGGGCCATAAATCAGGACTTGTCCTGAGGAATTCAGGTCCTTGAAACCAGCGATGACTTACATCGAAGGTGGAAGTAAAACTTCTAGTGGCGTCGTCTGCCACGTTTTGTGACGTCGGAACCCATCGCCATTCACATGGTTTACTGTGATTTTCGATCTCAGCCAATCGATGAGCAACGAATGGTTTAAAAGCGCGAGGATCTGACTTAATCCACGCTAACACTGTACGTGAGTCCGTCCAAAATATTCGCTCGGATATCTCGTACTTGCTCTCTTCCCTAACTGATGCAGCTAATCGGCTGCCCATAAGAGCTGCTTGTAATTCAAGTCTTGGAATGGAAATTGGTTTCAGCGGCGCTACTCTTGCCTTTGCGGCGATCAGCGTAATCCGCCTTTCTCCTAGCTCGTCCGTGGTGACGTAATACACCGCGGCGGCATATGCTTTCTCACTAGCATCCGTGAAAGTGTGTAACTCTCCCTTGCCGACTCCTTCAGCAACGGATCTAGGTACTTCTAAATGACCTAATTTCGTCACTTCCGATATCCATTTACAAAATAACACGTGTAATTCGTGTGGAACTTCTTCATCCCAAGAGATGCCTGTCCTCCATACTTGCTGGATTAGCGACTTCCCTTGAATCGTTATGGGTGATGCGAGTCCTAAAGGATCGAAGGCTGGCATCACAGCGCTAGTTATCTCCCTATTCGTAGGCGGTCGTAAACCTTCCAGCACCTCTTCCGGTGTGTTACGAAGACTTATGGAGAAACTTATTATATCTCGTTTGATATTCCAGATCAAACCTAAAGTGCGTTCTGTGTGCTCCTTATCTCCCAGTGAAGCACTGTAGCTCTTATATTTATTCTCCATTTTACATAAAACCTCGGGTCGGTTGCTAGCCCATCCCCTTAGTTGGAAAGAAGCACGTTCATGTAATTCATACATATCGTTTACTATCCTTTCGGCCGTCTTCCCGTCGGCAAATGCCTGTAGATAGTCATACATATAAAAATTTCGCTGCTTCTGGATAGATATGTGCGTTATCCTGCGCATTCCTATTCTTCACATACATTGCGATGCATGGTGATGATGCCGCTCCAAATATGAGTGACGTCATTCTATACTCTTCCGGTGGCGCGTCACGCTTGTGCCGCCATAAGAATCGAAGGCTGTCCCTGTCTTCTTCCCGAATTTTTACTTGCAGGAACATTTCTTTAATGTCTACCATCACTGCCACGCTTCCTTCTCTGAATCGTAGCAGAACGCCAAATAACGACTTCAATAAGTCCGGTCCGGTTAACAATGCATCATTGAGACAACATCCGCCCGTCCTTGCGGCGGCGTCGAAAACTATTCTTATTTTCCTTTTTTGTGGATGAGTCACTGCGAAGTGAGGGAAGATACCACGTGCGTGGGGAAATGGAAATATGGTTCGCTTTCTCTGCGTAACCTTCAACGATGAGATTTTCAATTTGCTTCTCATATTCTTTTTTTCAACTCGCTACGAGTATTTTTGTCGAGCTTTTCGATATTAAACAGGCGACTTTCAACCTGCGCTCTATTCGACGGCATGCACTCATTATCTGTGCGCCATAACAAAGCAGTCTCGTACCTATTATTAGGTATACGACGTACCGTTTTGTTCAAAATATTTAAAGCTCGTTCTTCTGGGTCGTTCGCAGGCTTTCGCGCAGACACTCCCAGAGATTCCAAACTAAAATAATCCTTGATTAACTTCTCCATGTCCTCCTCCTTCTTGGTGGAAATGTGGTTAACAATCTTGATTGGTTTAAAGCCACCCGAAATGTGACCATGTAAAACCCATCCAAGTTTGGTGAGCGATGCTACAGGTAGGTTCTTACCCCCCGAAATTATTCACGAGTAACTATGAGATGCCAATTTTTCCTGGCCAATTAATATGGTAGGTCTGGACCTCTCATAAATCAACTCGTCCTTAATCGGTGTCAAATGGGAGACACCGTTGCAATAATTCTCGGCCTACTGACTGCGGCTTGTTTGTACACTTATCTTCTCTAAGTGTTTCGAGAAAATGCTTTTTATTTTAACGTTTAAGCGATACGAACTGTCGTCGTTAATTCGCTTACCTCCTACGGCTTCAATACGTAATTCTTCTTTGCGTCCGCGAGGTGCTAACTTCTGAGCCATCCACTCCTCCATGAGTGTCATGGTTGACCCTTCATCTAGAACAGCTTTGGTCTTGACCTTTCCTCTAGGTCCATACAACTCGACCAGTATAATTTTTAAATATGCACATGCCAGTGCATTCACTGTACTAACAGTTGTAATTTGAGCCTCTTTACCCCCCCCTCGTCCCCTTGCGGCGAGGTATTTTTATTGGGGTATCGATGTAGCATTCGATGATGTGCCATTCTACATCCTTCTACACCACATTTTTTCGCTCTGCACTCTAACCTCCTATGGTTAGGTGACAAACATTGGAAACATACTTTCGCCTTTTTAACCGCTTCCCATTTTTCGCGATTATTCATATCCTTAAATTTGTAACAATTCACTATAGAGTGCTCCTTGTTACATATAACACACTTATGTGTTACCCGACTTACAGGCTTATCCTGGTTTATCATAACCACTTGTCGGTTGTGCCCTTTAATATTTCGGCGTTCTAGACGCTCGCTCTTGAAACGGTTGCGTACAGACCGCTTTGCGGTGTGTACAGTTTGCTTCCTGAATTCAGGACGCTTCCGTTTTTCAGGCACATTTTCATTGCTTAAGGACGTTCCAAATTATTCACTCAATAAATTTAAAAACTTGGCCATCTTCTGTAACTCTGGCTCCAAAGGATGCTGAGCTCGATATTCGAACCATTTAAATTTAATCATAGTTCCAAGTTTCTCCACTATACGGCTTTCTAACTCCGGTGAGTATAAATACTGTGGTTGGTTCAACGCTTGTATTGCAGCAACCACGTTCGTAATGCGACTTGCAAAAGAATCTATATTTCGGCAATCTTCCGCCAATCTTGGCATACGCTTTACATTCCCGATTTCGGCTAGAATGAGCATCTCAACCCTACCGAATCTTCTTTCGAGAGCGTTCATTATTTCTTCAGGTTCACACAAAGTAAACAACAATGACTTAACCGCTTCCTTAGCGGTGCCCTTTAATGCCCTCCTAAGGCGTGCGACATTCTGCACCCCTGAAAATTGGCTTCTTGTGTCTTCAAACACTGTTTTCAAAATTATCCATTCACCCAGGTCTTCATCGAAGACCGGTAATTCCTGGAGGAAATGAAGCTGGGAAGACTTATCTTTACCCGCTATCTTTATTGCACTCACAATCGCTTCGGTCAATTCAGACACCTCACACGCGTGTGCTTTCTATGCATTTCCTAGGTTGCGCTCTACCTCCGCCCCTTTGCGGCGTGATCCCTTACACGCTCCTTTATCAGTAATGTCGGGTTGCGTTACACTAACCGGCGCGCTCATTATGGTCTGTTGAACCCAACTTCTTACGAAAGGTTCCACCTGAGTATTCCGCTCTTCATTATCCTCACTCGAGTCGATCTCCTCTTCTCGGTTGAGTCGTGCCAACTTCAATTGAGACTTGGCTAAGGCAGCAGCCGCCTGTGCTCTTTCGAGCTCTGAGCGTTCGAATTTAATCCGGGCCTCTAATTCGGCTTTTAGCCTCGCCGATCGCGATGACCTACTACCTCTCTGTGACCCTTTGTCACTAGTGTGCCCGATTACTGTTCTTAACGATGCCGCTTCTTCGGTCCCTTGACCTACTTTTTCGACTATCGTTTCACTCCTGGATATAACGGATTTCTGTGCGGTGCTGGTCTGCGTACTACTGGTGTCCGTCCTGTTGCTTGTCGTTGCCACGGACGCCCCTGAGTCCCACGTGCATGTGGACGTATCGGTGGTGGCTCCACTTGAAGGAGTTGCCCCACTAGAAGCAGTAGCTGTGGTCGCTCCAGATGATTCCGCCTCTTTAGCCTTTCTCGAGAGCCCTGTTCTTGTCCTGGTTTCCTCGCTCCTCTCTGTCTGGTCTTGTGCCTTCTTCATCTTGCAGGAAGGTGATTGTTGGCCTACGGTCCCTAACTGTCCCTACGGTCCCTACAACCCCTTACCTATAACCCTTCTACACCCCATCCTAACCCCACTACCTCTCCCCCCTCTATCTCCCAACCCTACAACCCTACTACCACCCTAACAGCCCTATCAGCCCTATCAATCCTGGACGGGGGCCTACCGTGGTGAGCCGTCCAGGGATGGAGTCGTGCAGAAATGGAATGGAGGAAAGGTTTAGGAACTGTCCCGCTAAGGAATATGGCGAAACAGTCGAGCCAGTAGTGCAAGCGCAGTCTCGCCCGAGAGAACTGCTCCACCCGAAGGTGTTGTGCCAGAGCCGGAGACCGGTTTGGCACCGTTAGGGGGTCGGGATGTGTGCTGTGCTCGCCGCCCAGTCGCCGGTGACGCCTCGTCCAGGCGCTCTCCTCCGGCCGCGATGCAGTCAGGTGCATCGGTCAGGTCAGGTCAGGTCACGAGCACCCTCACCTGGCAGCAGCAGCGGTGGATGCTTCTTCTTCTTTCTTGCACCCTTGCCTGGCAACAGTGAGTGCGTTCTCTTCTTTCTTGCACCCTTGCCTGGCAACTGTGAGCGCTCCCGCGTTGGTAACAGCAAACACCAAACGTCTTTGAGCGCTACAGGAAATGACAACACAATCCCGTAGAGGAAATGCCGGACACGGTCGTTTGACAGGAAATACCAACTATGGCCGTCCAGTAGAAAATGCCGAGCCCTGCTTGGCCACGATGAGCGCCTTCATAAGGCACCTGCGCCTGGCTGCGATACGTGCCCCATGCGAGCACACGCCCCAAGCCGCAATCCCGTTTTTCTTTCTTCCGGTAGCTACCAGTATTCCAGGTCCGGTCCTGCCTGAGCCCTGATGGTCCTACTGCGTTGGCCTGGTCTTCTTGCCTTTGGTGCTGTTGCTTCAGCTCAAACCTCCGGCTTCCTTCGGTCGCTGATCTTCACTCGGCTCCGAAGGTCTTCTTGAATGGTATCCAGCAGTTCACAGCTGGTTTCTTAGATCCGGCTTGAACGACCAATTGAAAAAGGACAGGAATAAATCCTTTTTTCGAAACCAAAGACTTACAAGACAAAATACTTATCCAGAACATTCAGAGCATTTGCAATAAAATAGATATATTAGAAGACTTTGTACAAAGTAATCCCGATTACCAGATATTATGCTTTACTGAAACATGGCTATCTCCGGAAAAACTCGAACTGATACATTTAACCGACTATCAAGTAGCCGCATCGTATTGTAGAACAACGCGCACCGGAGGTGACGTCTGCATCCTGCTGAAAAACGGTAGAATATTTAGAACTAAAAGAAATTTCCAATATGTCTATTGAATATTTAGTGGAAATTTGTGCAATAGAGCTTATAAAAAATAATACTATCTTGTTGACATTGTACTATAATGGAAAGAAGGAAGATTTATTTTACGAAAAAATAAAAACTGTTCTTCATTACATAAATAAGAAATTTTCTAAACATAAAATCATATTGGGCGGAGATTTTAATGTTGACATGCTGCAAAAAATATAAAAAACGACACAACAAAAAGAAATAAAAGAAATAGACTTTCAGACTTAATGCTCCAATATAACCTTCATCAACAAATTCACAGTCCAACACGTGTCACTAAAACAACTTCAACATGCTTAGACTTAATTTATCTAAACTTTAGCGATACAAACCTACAAACAACTGTGCAAGAATTGGGCCTGTCTGACCATAGGGCCACAATAATTCATCTAAATCTTTCTAAACAAAATAAACAAAAAATATGGTACACCGAAAAAAGACAATACAACAAAAACAATATAGCAAATTTTAAACTTGCATTAGAGTCGCTTAATTGGGAAAATATACGTTTAATAAAAATAAAGGCATAAACTATAATATATTTCATCAAACTTTAATTAACATTCTAGATAATTGTATACCAAAAAGAGTAAAAAAATAAAAAACAACTACAAAAAACAATGGCTTACCGTTGGTATAAAAAAGTCTTGTTATAACAAAAGATTACTTAAATCGCACGTTATAAGGTCAAATAATAAAACACAACAAAAAATTCTTACAGATTATTATAAGAAATACGAAAAAATATTAAAAAGGGTTATAACAACGTCAAAAAAATTGCACTATATAAACAAGATAAAGCAGTCTAACAATAAAATAAAACAATGTGGCACATTGTTCGAGAACGCACAAACAAATAATCGAATATTAATTTAAATATCAACAACCAAATTTCTTCTAACCCAAAACAGGTCGCCGATAAATTTAATAATTACTTCTCCAATATCGGTGAAACAGTTCATCCACAAGCAAAGGGTCTTCCTGTTCTACATCCATCAGAAAACTCAATCTTTATAGGCAGAGTAGGATTTGAAGAAATACTTAAAATATTAAATAGTCTAAAAAATAAACTAAGCCATGGTGTTGATGAGATTCCCCCAACATTGTTCAAACAATGTGCAAGCGCTTTAGTATATCCACTAACATTATTAGTAAACCAATCTTTTGAAGAAGGCATATTCCCAGATATACTAAAACTTTCACTAGTAAAACCCATCTACAAAAAAGGTACACAAACGGACCCAGGGAACTATCGACCTATCGCCTTATTGCCCACAGCCTCTAAAATATTTGAAAAAGCATTATACGACCGTATCTATAAATTCTGTGAAAAATATAATATATTTAATGAAAGTCAAAACGGTTTCCGCAAAAACAAATCAACATTTCTAGCAATTAATAATTACATTCAAAAAATACAAAATATAATTAACGATAAAAAATATGCTATAGGAATCCTATTAGATATGTCAAAAGCATACGATACAGTGCAATATAACATATTACTAAATAAATTATATGACATAGGAATCAGAGGCCCGTGCTACAATCTGCTAAAATCATATTTACACAATAGAACGCAAATAGTAGAAATTGAGTACTTTAATGACAAATTGCACAAAATTGAAAAAATTAGATCCGATACTAAAACTATTAATGCCTCAATACCTCAAGGCAGTGTGCTGGGGTGTCTTATGTTTTTAATTTACATTAATGACTTTGCAGAGGCTCTCAAGGAATACTGTGTCATGTTTGCGGACGATATTTCTATTCTTATATCAAGCCAAAGGCCAATGAATGTAACAGAAAAAATTAAAAATATTTTATTTAGAACAACGGACTGGCTGGCAACTAAATATAACCTGCGGATAAACTTATCGAAAACTAAAATAATGTCTTTTCACCCATATCAAAAACCAAAATTAGATATAAAAATAGATAATGACGGCTTCACTATAGATACAGTTAACGAGCACAACCTACTAGGCCTAATAATAGATACCCATATTACTTGGAAACCACGAAGTTAAGCAGCTTTATGTACGCGTTACGAGAAGTAAAAAAAAACAACAGATGTAACCACCGCGATAACAACCTACTACGCGTATGCATATGCATGGCTTAGCTACGGCATTGTCCTATGGGGATGCAGTACTGAGGCCCCAAGTTTATTAACTAAACAAAAAAAACTAATACGGATCATTGCTAATCTACAAAACACAGAAAGCTGTAAGCCTTACTTTAAGAAGTATAACATTTTAAGTCTGCCCTGTATCTATATTTTGGAACTATGCAAATTTGTCCAAAAACATCCAAGCTTGTACACAAAACGCGATGACATCATATCTAGGAATCTAAGACAGAGAAACACACTAGTGCTACTAACTTCAAAACTAAAATCTCATTCATCCAGCCCATTTGCCATGTCTATAAAAGTTTATAATAAATTACCCGAATACATAAAAAAACATTAAGAACGAAAAACCATTTGAAAAAAAATTAAAGCAACTACTTATAAACAAGTGTTACTATAGTACTTCTGAATTTTTAGAAGATAAAAAATATAATATAATATAGATATAAATATAAATGTTAGGTAATAAGGAAATGCCATTCTACTAAATAAATTACAATAAAAAATTATAATAAAATTTAAAATGATTCAAATAATTTAATAAAAATTCAATTATGCTACCTATAATAATATATTAAATGTCAAAATCAATTAATAAATAATAACAATTATAATAGCCGTATTCCATATTCAATGTGTGTATGTTTATATAATATAATGAATGTGAATATTAAATAATTATTTAGCAATAATAATAATAAAACAAAATAAATGTTCCTCCTTCATAATATTGCTGTGCCCATGAGGGTCTATAGAGATACCATAACTATGTAACACCTTTTGTAACCTATGGAATGCAATAAAGTTATTGAGTATTGAGTATTGAGGAACGAGGGAAGGGTCTTCGTCACGGCTCGTTCAGCACCAGACTCCCTAACCTCCTATGACACCTACGTTGGGTTCGGGAACAACGTATGTGAACCCCGCAACGGAGTAACACACAAGGGCGTCGACCTCTTCTTTTTCTTCAAATAGGTTCAGGCGGGGATTACGGGTCTTCCGAGGTCGTCCCGGTCCCAACGCCTTAATTCTTCAATATGTGCCGCGCTAGCGACACCAATGAACTGTACTTATTTTAAAGGCGAAGGATCCCTTGGGAATAAAACAGTAATTATCTTCAAACCGTTCCGTGAGAGAGTAACCTTATCACTTCCATATATAATTTTCTCTCTTGATTATATTATATACTGGTAGCTGGTCCCGAACGATTTGTATGAAAACCAGTCTAATGGGGTATCAACAAAGCTATACTCGAAAGAGAGACGCGCCCTCTGTGCGATTACGATACTTAATTACATCAATTTGTACTATCACTCTCTCACGGTTTGCCCAATATCTTTATTTGTATAAGACATACATTTATACATTTTATTTCTAAAGATAGCACAAAAAAATATCATAAAATATCTATACTATGATATACATTACATTTTTATATCACAAAAAACCTTTTATTTATTCAACAAAATATGCCTATTTTACAACGTATG